TCTTAAGAGGGGAGCGGTTATAACGGCCGGATAATAGTCTCTGCGAGGAGTAGCCGAAACAGGAGACGCAGAAAGGCCAGCCTTTAAAGGAAAGGAACGGGGGTGCACTGTTAGGCTATTCGGGACGAACAGCCTTAAGGAGGGCGCAGTGTGACATGTTGCGCAATGGAGGACAAGCCCTCCCTACCCAGCAGTGTCGTGGCAGCTCTGACCACGGTGATGTGGCAGATGAGTCAGCGCTCTGCCCCCCCCTCCTCACTGTGACGTAACACACAACGCAGCAGTGACACGGGTAACAGGCAACAGCGGTACCCATTGCATAACAGGTGGGTGCTGCGACTATATAAGGGAATTATACAGCCGCTGGAGTTAGTTAAAATGTATCAGCAGCCGAAGACATTTCTCCAGTCAGCAGTGAACAAGATAAAGTGTATCAGCGGCCGAAGACAGTTCCCCAGTCAGCAGTGAACAGTTAAAAGTGTAACAGCCGCCGAAGTGAGTTCTCAAGTCAGCAGTGTACGAGTTCTCAAGGCAGCAGCCTATGAGTTGTGTTGGAATATAGCTGCCATCGCGGAAAAAAGAACCGGACGGGTGTGATAATCAGGATAGTTTGTGATAAGTGAGTAATAACTTGGAATGTGTGATACAGTGACACTTGTATAGCTCCCGTATCATAATTAATACATGTAGACTACTGAGGAGAGTGTGAATTGATTATTGCGAATAGGGTTATAAAGTGTGAAACACCACAACAGTGTTGTGATTGTAGCCGATACGTGTAGGTTGTTAAATAAACCAATTAACAATCCGAAAGGCATCTTCAGTAATGAAACACGTTACAATATCATTCAGATTATGGTACTCCTTATTGTGTTTCTGCTCTTCTGTTAGTTTGTTAATTGTATTAAGGCAATAAATGTGGAAGTTTCTTTTATGTTCATTGGGTTCCCTTTTCTGGTATATTCCACCATTTCCATGATTCCTGTTATAGCTCCATATTGATGTAGTTTATTTAGTATATTCTGGACGAATGCCAACTCATCTTTGTTAAAACGTACCATATGTTCCTTATATGTTCTCCATATCTCCTTGTTAAATTCCTGCCAGATTGGCCAATGTACACTTTATGACAGCTTTGACATGTTCATTT